CAAACTATAACTATTACTAAACTCTTTACCGTTTTTTTTTTTTTTTAATATTAAGATTCGTTTCTTGTTAGTTGGTAATCAGCCCTTTGCCATTTAAAAAAAAAACTACTCGTAAATATAAGTTCTAAATATTTTGCCTTGGCATACAATGTTTAAAATATATTAATTACGTTGTAACTGTATATGAACTAATAAAGTCTCCGCCGTCACACTTAATAAGAATAGCTGGTATGAATAAACTTTGATTACTTACTTAATAGCAGCTAACACGGAGTCTATACTTTGGCTAGTTTCCAAGAGACTATGATTGTGAGTCGAGTTTACGTTATTAAAACTTCACTTCTAAATTTATTGCACCGGAAAAAAAATAATCAGACCAAGGACAATTGAAATGCAAATAATTAGCAGTTTTATATTGCGAATGTTTAAGCTGTAGAATGAGCTCTTTGTCGAGGTTTTCTAGAGACTACATTATGAGGTTCTCAGAAAAGGTAAGGTTTTGCAAACATCCTTAGGCTGTAATGACCATTTACGGACGTTCAAACGAGCTATACATAGTATATGCTGGTTTGCTATCTATAATCGTGGCGGCGGCGGCCTAAGCCAGTCAGAGGCTTGAGCAAAGCTGAATGAAGATACAGATTTTAGAAGTTGATGTAAACAATTAATTACAAGCTTTCAGTTACAAGGCTTTCAATTACAAGCTTGCAAACAATTCAGTTAACACTTGTATCTTATATATACAAGTGTTAACTGAATAAAAAGCTGTTTGATATTTATTTAGTTAAAATTTTGCACTTGAAATTTAGACTTAAATAAACATACTTAAACTATGGATTTGGATGAGCAAAAGGGCCGAGGCGGTCTGCTTCTTCTGCCTCTCAAGTTAGTCTGCCACTGAATCGTGGTATTAAAAAAAATAGCCCATAATTATAAATAGCACACTACATAAATGTAAACAAAACAAACGATATATTTTATTGTTAAGTTTCGTAAGCACACATTATATTTTAATGTAATAACTACCGGGTTAACTTACTTGTAATTAGATCGGGAAAGCTCGACTAGTTTCGGGATAAATCCGTGATCCTAAATCCGAGGTCCGCAGTCGGTCTCGCGCTCGCATCACAGCCGCTCATGACTAATTATTACACATAGTTATTAGATTAAGATGGAACGATATTATCTGTGTAGTATCTGTGTCTTGTAAATGTACTATTTAAAACATACCATTTAAATTGGTTTTGGAAATTATGATGAATTTATGTAAACGAACATCATTATAGGAAATATTTTATATGTTAAATCTGAATAATAGATGAAACGTGCCGTGTTGTCCAGGCATAGCATGGGCCAACCCTTCCTTTACCGTAGATATCGTAAGAGATGACTAAGGGAATTTAACAGTCGATGAATGGGCAGCAGTGTCCCTCTTAAAACGTCACCAAACCCTAACTGCGGTTGCCAACCCGCCAGCCACGCGTGGCAACTACTGGCTAACCCTTCCTTCATGTGGGTGGTCTATGTTCAGCAATGGACATATAATGAAGATAATGAATAAATGAAACAATAAGTCATCGTCAAGTATTTTCATGATTACCAATAATTACATTAAATAAATAAATGCACCTAAACGGTGAGGCATTGATTCTAAAAGTACATACTTTAAATACCGAGGGCAGAAAGAGATTCCAAGTAATGGAGAATTGATCCTTACTGTTAGCAATATATATTTATTTATTTATTCTTTATTGCACAATAAAATATTGTACTAATGGCGAGCTTAACGCCATATGGCATTCTCAATCAGCTAACCATTGGGTAAAAACAGAAAGCGTATGAAGGGCAGATGTGGTGAAAAATATGTGACAAATACTGTCAAGTACATATACGTCGAGTCGATCTCCACGCGGTCCCCTATCATGGTTATTTCTTAGCAAATTCGCCACGATGACCCACTTGACTTAACTTCATTCTCACCCATCATCATTAAGTAATACCAGTAGGGGTCAGTAGGGGGAAATATATTGCTAATAATATAATCTAATATATCTATTGCTACCATTACATCCTAGTAGGTAAACCTCTACCTTTTTTTTATACAACTTAGAATGGCAAACAAGCTGACGGCCCACCTGATGGAAAGTGGTAACCGTCGCCTATAGACATGAGCAGTACCATGGACATAACAGAGTATACTGTTTCGCCCATAATACCCCCCATGCGTTGCCATTCCTAAGGACTCAAGTGTTATTCCTCCGTACCCAGTAAATTCACGCCATATCCCAGCCTTCATACCGAAACACAGCCATACAAACACAACTGCTTTACGGTTGAAACACGAATGGGACAGAGGTACCCAAGCAATCGACTTTTGTACAAAGCCTCTCCTCCACCCTCCATCATCATCTTCCTACCTTATTCCCAATTATTATTTGCGGTCGGTGTAATACGGTTTTATACATATTACTAAAGGAATTGGCTTATAGTTTTACAACCAGCTGCCTGTCTGACGTCAACCTTCTTTGGGAATCTACCTCTACCCTCCATCGTGGTTAATTATTCTTGACTTCGTCACAATAGGCCGATTGACCTATTTTATTTATTTATTTATAAACTACTCACCACACTTACAGTATCCCAAAACGTGTAGTGAGCCATGGGTTTATTTTACAAACTTAAAAATTTTAAACAACATTTTAAAAATATATCTATTTTGTTATTGAATATATCAATTCTATTTGGCCATTGAGCAACCGATAATAGTTTTATCTTTTTCTTTATCTATCACTAGTGCTTTGCTAGTGTATACCAACAGCGCAGGCGGGGATCATTTCATTTTCATCACTTTAAAAAAAAATCTATGGTCTGATCAAGTGTCAAAACAACAATATAAAAATGTCATATGTCTTTCAGTGCGCTAACATCGTAAAAAAATGGAAAAATCCTCTGAATTTGGATTTCTAAACATCACGCCAATAAAATGTTCCAAAGAGACTGTAAGCACTCTCTAATTTATGATACCGCGTGAGAATCACTATGTCGAGGATGAAGTTATGAAGCCCCGCTTATCCATTTACATCTGTCAATTAAAAAATAATACCTTTTTTTTTATTCTAAACTGACAGTACTAAAAATACTTTTCATATTATAAATCAAGTATATAATAATTACGTTCACGTAATTAATTTGTTGAAATATAATATAAAGATTTGAAAATTAGATTATTTTATTGATTATTAATTTTAGATATTTTTACTTTTCTTTAAAATGTTATAAATCAACAATCGCTAAATATTAATATATTGGTACCTACCAACCTACTAAACTAACGAACGAGGAAGTCCTAAAAAAAGTAAACGAGAAGAGAACATTGATTAAAATTATAAAGAATAGAAGAGGCAAAATGCTGCGTCACCTTATACGACATGACGATTTTTTTAAGAGCATAATAGAAGGAAAGATAGAGGTCAAAAGAGGAAGAGGAAGACCGAGGATTAACTACATGGGACAGATAAAGGAAACACTAGGCGTCATGTCGTATAGGGAGATAAAGAATATGGCCTGGGATAGAGCTGGCTGGAGGAAGATGCATGAATTAGTTGCACCGACAAGAGGAAACTCTTAAATGAAAATAATAAATAACCAGCCTACCAGCAATACTGAATACTTATATAGGCTACTTAAATGTGGTAAACCCCATATAAAGTAGCTACGCCGAATAGATATCTTTCATTTAATCCAAAACGTTTCAGGACAAATCTGGGCCATTTCTTAGCAACGAGTATTGACAGAGTGCAGTTACAATGCAGTCAGTTGTCACGATTCCCTAATATTAATATTGATATTAGCACGACCTCCACCAAATCCGTATTGTATAAATTATATAGTTTTGTTTAATCAGCTTACTAATTGCATGGTATTTATCTTGGATACAAAGAAAGCAAATTCTCTAACAAATATATTTATTGAATTTAAAAATATAATTAATATAATTATCATGAATTATGTTTCGAAAAACTGACGCGATTCCCACCGCGACATGTGAAACCTGTCACACTGCGTCAGCATTCTGCGGTTGGTAGTTTTCTTGGAAATTGCCACTATGCCGAGCATTGATTGGCATTATGACGAAATAATGAGAGGCGCTACTTATTGCAATGTCAATAATGCAATAATATATAACATGCTTTGTTGGTTGTCCTTAAATAAATCAAGATGGGATGATTCCCTGTAATACCAAATAATACACAAAATTGCGCAAACGATTCGCAATTGTCAAAAATGTGGTATTACATGGCACGATTGCATGCTAATAGATAAATAATTTTAGTAATTTTTTACATATTTGTATATAATATATATATAAAATTTTGTATATAATTGATACATATCAATCATTAATTAACTGTATTCAAATATCAAAATGTTAATAAATCTTAAGTAATTAAATATAATAATGTTAATAAATAATTTCATTCTATTAAGGACCTAAGCTACACTTCTCTTCGATAAACAGCGCCATGTAAAATGTAGTGGCTAAAAACAAAACTAATTCAAAACTTATTTTAGTTCCTAAATCGCTCTATAGAGGCAGCATCAATATTCGCAGACTAATTATGTTTAAGTACATAAATAAAAAAAATGTTAAATTTAAAGACAAATATCATATAATTTTCAATTAATTAGTATTGTATAGAATCACTATTAAATGTATTTTAATAAATACAAAAATTCTTCATCTTTGTCGTACTTAGACGCGACGTCAAATACGTCAATGTGATAAATGCTGCCATCATACAACAAAAGTATTAACAATTGATAACATATAGTTATTGTATAAAAATATATACAGTTTCTTTTAAAATAATTATGCATAAAAAGTTTTTAATGCTATTATAATTGTGATTAACCGCGTCTTTACTTGGAACGTAAAAAAGTAAAAAAAAAAAGACGAAGCGGATGTCGACAGTAGCGCCATCCTCGCGACATTTTTATACTGTAACTACTAAAATTACTTATTTCCGTTGATACCAACTTCTTCCGCCATTTTGTATACTCGTCTCTTGTCTATAATTTTCGGATAGATCGTCTTTATGGGCAAGGTCCGTAGATAATTTTTACTCTTTGGATTGGATACCTATTGCTATTGTGCTCTCTGATTACTATTGACTGTCAAAACAATGTATTCAAATTATGATATATTTATTAATTCCAGGCTTTTCTGGCGTGATATTTATGTATCTAATATTAAAAGATGGATACGTGGTCGAATTTGTGCCGATGCTGCTTATCGCCAGATTCACAAGTGTCATTATTAGATGAGCATAATGTGACGGAAAAATTTCACGAAGTAACTTCAATTGAGGTAATTATTCCCCTCTAAATATCTATTTATAATGTGTTTTTTAAATAATCCTAATTACAATGTTAAGTAGATTTTTCTTAAATATTTTTTTAGTAATTAACCTATAAAACTATGATATCTTTTTTCCAGCAATTAATTTATTTACTCAATTTTATTGACTTCTTGTATGATTCCTTAGTTTTTTTTTATTCCTTCCAGTCCTATTATTGGTGCAGAATTTCCGTAGTTGTATTAATTTTGAAACTATCGGCATCTCTATTGAAAAAGTATTTGCAAATTAATAAAAATTTGACCTCGTATAATCCATCGGTGGTCTAGTCTATGGTGTGGTTTATTTAAATGCATATTTTCTTATTCTACTAAGCATAATAATATTAAAAAAAAAATAGAAGTGGTACCAATCACATAAAGAAGTAAGAAAATCCTTTTTGGGATAAGTACCATTTTGTGTTACATTTTTCTCATATTTCGTATGTACATCTTTTGAGTATATTGAAATAAAGATGATTGATAAAATCATCATCATCGTATTAACTGATAATTGTTCACATATAAGCATCCCCCTTGGGTGGTTTATGTCAGTAGTCGCCTCACTTAGCAGGTTGTTAGGCAGCTGCGGCTAGACTTTGGTGATATTTTAAGAAGGATACTGCGCCCCCTCCCTAGTCCATTAAATTCCCTCAGTGGCCTCTTACAACACTGATGAGAAAACAGGGGTGGCCTATTCTATTCAGAGACCACAAGGTCTTAGATCTTCATTATAACCTTTAACCTCAACCATCTAACTTTAACCTCAACTTTGTCCATGTAACGGGATTATATTGATTGACAAAATAGATTATGTTCTACTCCATCCCAAATACTATACTGTATATATCTTAAATTATATAGATAATGTCTCCATAGAAATGCTTCGAGAAAAATGGGTCAACTTTTTTATTCAATTTTGTATGTTAAATAGTTATAAGTGATTCCTTTATAATTTCTATATTTATTTTGCCTTATAAATTCTGCATTTTTTTAATGCACAAACACTCAATTTATTTATTAAATAATATGTCAAGATACATTTTATACCTAGACATATAGAATAGCTAATTTGACAAAAAGCTGACCCGTTTTCAAGCCACAATGCTTTGTCTATATAATCTAAGGCATATATCTCCTAAATTTTATGATTTGTTTAATAGATTAAGATGCCCAATAGTAATAAACATGATTTTATGAGAAAGTCAGCAGTTTTATACACTGCTATATTTAATATTTTAATACATATTTGATTTCTTTAATCTTAAAAATTGTATCTTTCAAAATTAATTCCAGGTAAAACTAGATGATGGATTGCCTCAAAAGCTGTGCAATGACTGCTTTGCGAAAATGAATTCAGCATATCAGTTCCGTAAGCAGTGTATCAAAATGGATAGTGAGTTGAAATTGCAACTGAACACATTACTCACTGAAAGCTACATACAACAAGCTGAAGCTGAGAAGAACCAAAACTTTGGTACAGATATTGATGATATAGCTAATGATCCCATTAAACAATTGGAATCAATAATAAAAAAAGAACCTACCGATAGTGATGATGATTATTATTATGTTCTTGTGATTGATGATCCTAAAGATAAAGAAAAACAAAACGAAACTGAATCATCAATAGATACTAATATTAAATTGGAGAATATTGAGGATGCACATTCTCTACAGGACTTACAGGAAATATTAAATGAGCCAATAAAAGTAATTCCTGAAGCTACTAACACATTTGAAGGACTGAATTCAATTGATTCATTCTTAGTCTCTAATCCTAAAGTTCCCGTAAATGTTCCTGCAACAATATTACAAAATGAAGAGGATAGTCAAGAGAATGATAATAATTTTACACACCCAATGGATATAGAGGAAACACAGGATAGTGCATCACAAGAACAGATGTCGGCTGTTGATATGGAAGAGAATGAAATTGTTGAAAATATAGGTAATAATATTATAAGCACATTACCTACATCTAAAAATATCATCAAAATATTAACAACTTCCTCAGCAGATGGGACTATATTATTGAAAAATAATGATAAGATTCAATACTTAACTGACAATGATGAGCTCATGACTAATAATGATGGATTAGATCAAGAAGAAGTCATCTTTTGTGAGGATGATGCGACCCAATATCAAATAATAAAGTGTGATGGTACAGAATTAGTTATTGAGTATTCCGATGATGGTCAAATAGCTACAGTTTTGCAACAAGAAGATGGTACATTTTTATGTGAATGCGGTGAACAGTTTGAAGACTTGGCTGAATATGAGAAGCATCAGTATAAGCATAACCCTGCTGGAGAACATCTCTGCAATTTATGTGGAAAAGGCTTCGAATCTGCTGAAATCTTAACAGGCCATATCTTACTGCACAGTTTCACTGGTCTTTTAATAACATGTCCATTCTGTAATCACCTTGTCAGAAGGAATGCTTTAACACAACATATTAAATATGGACACAATAATATTAAACCAAGATGTGATCAATGTTTTAAAACATTTGCAAACCCAAATAACTTAAAACGGCATATGATGATTCACACTGGTGTCAGAGAATTTGAATGTGACATTTGCTTTAAGAGATTCCACCAAAAAATCACAATGCAAACACACAGACTAACACATCTTAACCCATTTACCTGCAATCAGTGTGATCATACATTTAATAACAAAGCAGAGCTGTCTGCTCATAGAAATTCAGAGGAGTGTACGAAATCTAAAGCTCAGAAAGTGAAGGTAGAATTAATGAAGACTGTCAAACAAGAAATCACTACAAATCTTGGAAAATTGCTGGGTTATGCTTGTTCACTGTGCAAGAAAATGTTCTCTCTTGAATCTGCTTTAGAACAGCATGTTGAGAGTACACACATAGTGGATCCAGCTGAGTTGCTTTGCTCTGAATGTGGGGAAGTTTTGCCTTCAAAGAAGGATATGCAAGCTCACATCCTTAACCATAAAAATATGAAGCCAAAGATTATGAAACGATTTGAATGTAGTATGTGTGGGAAGGGTTGTTCAAGTCAAGCAATGTTGATAATGCATGAGCGAGTCCACACAAACGAGAGACCCTTCCCATGTCAACTGTGCTCTCTCAGGTTTAAAACTAAAACTCATCTACGAACACACCAACTTACTCATACAAGGGAGAAGAAGTTTGGGTGTTCAGTCTGTATGAAGTTCTTTGCATTAAAAGGGAATTTAGTTGTTCATTTGAGAACACACACTGGTGAAAGGCCATATATATGTACTTTGTGTGGGGAAGCTTTCATAGATTCCAAATATTTGAAAAAACACAAATTAAAAAAACATGCCATAGACAATGTACCTTGGAATAAATATTAATCTGAGAGTTTAACATGGAAATAATTAATTTGATTGAAAAAACTTGCAAGCAAATGTAAAGTTAACATTTTTTATACTATCAGAAAATCAGTTATTTTTCTTTAAAAGAAAACTATGAAGTTAATTTATAGGTACATTATTCTATGGAGTAAATATATAACTACATAAATAGTATGTATGACTTGCCCATTAAATATATTTGTATTAAATTGGATGGATTCGAAATCTGGCATGTTTAAAAATCTCGCTTGTTTTGCCCTGGTACATTGTTAATAACTTTTAATAAAATAAGATGTCATTTTAAGACACATGGGTGTTTTCTTTTCTATCAACAATCTCGGTGATAATATTTTAGATCTGTTAAAAACATTAATTTGTTTTTTCTTTATTATAAAATATTTTAAATTATTGCCTAGATACTGTAGATTTGTAAAGTATATAATGCAACAAATTATTATTTGATATTTTTATTAAATTTCTGCTTTCTTCGGAATCATAACCAAAAATAAACACCTCAGTCAATAATATTTTAATCTTAGAGTGTCTCCATAGAAATGCTTCAATAAAAACGGGTCAACTTTTTCATACAATTTTACGTGATAAATAATTTTAATGAGTGATTCCTTCATATCTTTTATATTTATTTTGTCTTATAATTTCTGCATCTTTTTAATGCGTAAACACTCGTTCTATTTAATAAATAATACGTCAAGATACATTTTATGCGTAAGTATATAGAACACTAATAAAAGAACGAGACAGCTAATTTGACAATTAGCTGGCAAAAAGTTTACGCGTTTTTGACGTTCGATGCTCTGTCTACATATATAATTTAAAATTTTAATTTATTAGTCAAGTAAAAACAGATCTTAACTTTTTTATTATTTAACTAGAATAAAAATATTCACAGCCACCCTGTTACATTTTTGCTTGTTAAGACAACAAACTTTAAAATATTGGCAAGTTAATTTTAAACTTTCGCGTTCATTACACATATTTTAAATACAAAATCGGGACTTAACGCGATGATAGTACCTAATAATAGTCCACTATTTACCTGTAAAGGCTTTTTCTTGCGTAATTCTTAATTATTTATTTAAAATATTGTAAAAATTATGTTTATTGTATTTATTTTCTTTATTTTTCGTTCGCGAAAGTCATTTCTTGTATTTCTGTATCTATTTCTGTAATTCATATAATTGACTTTGAAGTTTTATATTCTAGGACTATTTTGTATTCGACCTGTCCTAACTTGGTTTTTTTTTTTTTACTAACGCTAGCGATCGCTGTGTCTGAAATCAGTAAATGTGGTCTAGGAAATAAGGAAGCTAATCTGATATTTGAAGGTGGTAGAAGCCAGAATGTTCTTATTTTTAACTTGCCATTTACTTTTCACTCTTCTGTGTACTATTGGTGTCAATCTTTGATTATCTTTTTACGAGCACGATATCTTTCTAAATCTCTAAGTTATACGTCGAAATTTTCAATCTAGTTTTGTTTTATCACGTTATCATTTTTCAGTTTACCTTTAATAAATGAAATAATTGATGATATAGTAACCAACACAAGAGAAATAATAATTATTTATCATGGAAATCACTTAAGACTCTAAATTCCATACAAAAAATACCGTTCCGTCACGAGTTTTACCACTACGTTACATTTTTTGTGACAGAGCGTAACAGGCGTAAAACAGTAGTATTCTAGGTTTTTAGCATTTTTTAATGGAATGGTAACCCCGCCTGTGCTAACGATATATGCTGGAGGGGTACCAGTGAGGGATAATAGGTGAGAATAAAAGGCAGGTCAGTTAGCTTATATGGATGAGTACACCGGGAATTCATCATAATGGTATCCAGGGGGGACCACATGTAGGTCGACCTGACAGGGTATATTGTTAGTAATACAAGGTATAGTAGGGACTGGTAGTTCACATTACTAACAATCTCCCCCCTCCCCCCGCCGGTTCTCAGCATTCACCTAATTATGCATTGTTTATTTTTTTATACGACTTATGAAATATTTAGCAGGTTATAATAAATTAATGTTAAAAACAGAAATTTAAATCATATTTGAAAATAGTAACTACGTGAGTTACTGCTACTAAGTAAATAATAACATTCAATGAGTACAATAAATTTTTTATATTATAAAGTTCTATATATATTTTTTTTTACCAGAACATTTTGTAACAATGCTTCATTCGTCAGGAACACTTTACATGTATGTAAAACACCTCCATCACACATCTTGTGTACTATGTTCCCAGTTGTTTTGTAAAAAGAATAATAAATATTCAATATTAATGTTACTACAATCGTTGCAGTGTCAAAACAATTTAAAAAATATAATTAAGATTTCGAATATTTTGGATTTCTTTTTTATTATTGGCATTTAGGCATTAGGCATGTTATTGTCGATAGAAAAGAAGACCGTTCCACATATAAGTGTACTATTACAGTAACATAATCTACAGAATACACGTGTATTGGGTAAAATTACATTATGCAATACAAAAAAAATAATACTACATTAGCTACAGAAACATTTTGTATATTGTTATAAAATATATTGACAGGTAAAATAAAGTTTCTAATGTGTAAACTCAGCGTTTTATTGTTGTGACTGTTCATCATGTTACATGTATTATGTAAGTACCTAAAGTATTTAATTATGTTGGGAAAAGTTATTGTTTTTTTTTTTTTTTTGGATCATAATAGAATGGTAACTCCGCCTGCGCTATCGGTATACGCTGGCGGGTCACCAGTGAGGCATGATAGGTGACCATGAAAGCAGGTCAGTTAGCTCACTGTGACGAATTCCACCAGAATTAACTACGATGATTTCCAGGAGGAACCACGTGGAGGTCGACCTGGTAGGGTGTAATGCTGGCAATGGGTCAGTTAGAGCCAATTACTAACAATCCCTTTCCCCCCAAAAGTGATTGTTAGCAATGAGCTTTCAAAGACCCCTTACAAACAGTATTCCTCCACGCGGTTCTCCCTAGAAACCATCGTAATTGATTTTTAATGATGTCATCACGATGGGCATACTGACCTCCTCACATGATAGCGCAAGCAAGGTTATCATTCCAATTTCATCCATTAAAAAACCTTTTAATGACAATGATATACCTATCAGAAGTATTATTAGTTTTACATGGAAAAAAAAAAATAAACAGCGCCATCTAAGTATTAGTATCATAAATACGAAAATCTTGAATTTGACGTTCCTTACAAAAACAAATTTCACGCAAACTTTACGATGAAAATCACACAATTACATTAGTTTTAATCTTATAGGACAGATGGCACTGTTCAATAAAAAAAATTAAAACTTAGAAATATGAATAAAAAAAAAAATATCAGAAATAAAAATATGTCTACCTTTATATCAATAGATTTTTCAAATACCTAATTTTCATATAGATATATTTCATTCTAGCTTTTGCCCGCGACCTTTGCGTAGATTTTGGAGGTAGGTAAGTAACTAAAATTTTTTTTTACGATAAGTTGATACGTAAGAACTGATAAAATATACCACTTGTGGGGAGAAAGGGATTGTTAGTAATGGAGACTGAGAATCCCATTGCTAGCAATATAATACCCAACCAGGTTGACCTCCTCGCGGTTCTCCCTGGAAATTATCATGGTTAATTCCTGATGAATTAAAAATAATAGGCTAACTGGCCTGTTTTCATTCTCATGTATCACCCTTCACTGGTGCTCCGCCAGCGTATCCCGTTAACACATACCATTTTCACCCATAAAAAAAAAAATAGACCACTTGTAGATGCCATATTTAAATAAATAAAGCTCGCTCAATATTGTTATTTTCTTCTCTTAATATGTCCAGTAATTGTCACTCTTGGCAGGTGGGTCGGCAACCGCAGTCAGGCTTTTGGTGATGTTTTAATAACGTGATATTGTAACAGTGTAAAATTTTATAGCGTAAAATTATCAAAATCGATTTTACATAGATTTCATACAAAGATATTTTCGTTGAAGTGATATGGGCCTGCTATAGTGTACATTGGCAAGTTCTATCCCTAATATATGACTAGGGCTCTACAGATTACCTAATCCTGAAATACATTTCAAATATCGAACGTAATTTTTCGTCTATCTCCGGACGAAGTACGGATCGCAACTTTTGCGGCGAACACGATCCATCAATCGCCTATAAAATACGCAGCCAGTTAGTTAACCCGCAAACACGTCAGTTGCTGGACTAAAGGTCGGCGGGTCGCCCATAATTCAGCTGGTGCCGCCCAGCCATCCACTCGAATCTCTGCCGCTCCAGTAATTAGGATAAAATATTAATCCGTCGACAGTCAGCCATGGGATCCGAATCACCGAAAAATAAAATTGTTGGCCATCACCTTCTGGTAGAATTGTCATCTCTATATGCATCCTACTTTAACTGGGACAATTTATTTTCCGATTTTGCATGCGGCTCACCTGATGATAAGTGACCACCGCCGTCCATGATCACTTGCAACACCAGCGGCATTGCAGGTGTGCTGCTGGCCTTTTAAAAAGGAATATGTTCTTTTCTTTAAGGTTATGATGTCGTATCGGTTCGGAAATACTGCTGCTGGAAGTTGATTCCAAACAGTGGTTGTGGGAGAAATTTTTAAGATGTTTTTACTTGCTTATTAATTAATATACAACTTTGAAAATTTTGAATTTGATATTTAAAAATCAGTGGGTTAATAATTTAAGATTGCGTTCCACAAAAAAACCGAGTTATTTTGATTTAAAACAAAAATAACTACCGAACCGATTTTTTTTAATTTCTATGAAACCAATCCGAAATTTTATTCTTACAAATAAAAAAATCCTTTTTTAAATCGGTTTGTAACTCACGAAGTTATGAAGTGAGACGCATAAAAAATACAACTGAATTGAGAGTCTCCTTCTTTTCAAAATATTATAATTAATTAAAAATTAACCTTTTGCATGTTTTTTTTTTATTGGTGAAATAATTCAAGGTGGTATAGCTCATGTTTAAAATTAAAGGAAAAATGGTTAAAAAAATAAATATGACAGCTATGTTTTTTTATTCTGCAACAGACATTAAGACGGTATCCAGACACGATCAACTTGTTCTTTTATATAATTTTTGGGCATTCAATGTTATTGAATGGAAATTTCCACCATTATGTAATATTTCGTTTTTTTTTTTTTTCTGAATGTGTTTGCTGTTGGCCGTGTGTGGCCTTTACAGCTTCACCGGACGCGAATGCAGGGGCGAGTGCTGATGGCACTCCAAGCCCGCGAGAGGGGAGCGACAGAGGTGTCGACTCTTTCTTAAAAGTAATATTTCGATGTCAGCCTTTACATTAGATTGTTTTCTATAGATAACATTACATACATGATCAATTAATTTGACAGATACCAGTGAGGAACGAAGTCAGGTCTGTTTTTTTATGGGTGAAAATGGTATAGTAACCCCGCCTGCGCTAACGGGATACGCTGGCGGAGCACCAGTGATGGGTGATAGATGAGAATGAAAACAAACCAGTTAGCCCATCATGATGAATTCATCAGGAATTAACCATGATAGTTTCCAGGGAGAACCGCGAGGAGGTCGACCTGGTTGGGTATATTGCTAGCAATGTGATTCTCAGTCTCCATTATTAACAATTCCTTTCCCCCCAACGAAGTCAGGTCAGCTAGTTTATCGTGACAAATTCGACAGGAATTAACCACTATGGTTTTCAAGAGAACCGCGTGGCGGTCGGCCAGATAGGGTATGACGCTAGCAATATGGTCGCTCCATTAACCATTTTCCCCTGAATTTCATTGCATAATTAATACCTACAAGTCAAGCTTCAGTCCATTTTGTTCTACTAGTAGAACTATACGGATACAATGAAGCAAAAAACTCGTCATTAGGTTTTATAATTGTCTATACTCGCTCCATCTATGAGTATCTTGGTTAAAGTAATCTTTCAAAATAATAAACACGCTGATCAAATACTCCCCCCTTATTCGTAAAAACGTCAAACCTCTTATAAGCCTATTTTAACTATTGAGGTGTACTATCCTTTTCTTTTACACTAATTTCCCAAATTGAAAGACAGTGACAGAACACTCTAAAATAGATTTGGAGCACGTTTTAAATTTTATGAATAAGATTGTTAGTATCTGGGTCGCTAGACGCTACTATACTTCACGTTTGTGTGAAGCCAATTCGTTCGTTCGTGTCTCTTTTCACCCCGTCACATACGCCACACAGAGCGTAACACGAACGCTCGAAGCACTAGGCACACATGAGCATGCAAGCGTTATTTATAATAATCTTGTGGAAGTTAAAAACACGATCACACGACAAAGCCACACGCGAAAACGAACATGTAATGATGAATGTCACACGTTTGTACATTGTTTTTTTTTTTACTGTTTTGCTTAGTAACAGTTAAAATTAAGTGCATATAGAATTTATTTAACAAATTAATTCTCTAGATAATTTGAAAGTTATTTATAATATGTAAAAAAGTTTTAGTAAATACAAAATTATGTTCAACAGTGGACAGTTAAAAGCTGATATGATGATGATGATGATGATGGTCAAATGCAAAAAAAAAATCCCCTTATTCAAACTAAAACATTCCACAAACCAATTTTAACTATTAAAGTGTTTTGTCCTTGTCTTTCGAATTAAGAAAGGCTTATGAGAAATTTGGTGTTTTTATGAATTTACATGGTACAGACAAATAACACCTCAAAAAAAGCAACGGATGGGGGGGGGTGGTATCATGGGCGAAACAGTATACTCTGTTATGTCCATGGTACTGCTCATGTCTACAGGCGACGGTTACCACTTTCCATCAGGTGGGCCGTCAGCTTGTTTGCCATTGTAAGTTGCATAAAAAAAAAAGAACAAGTGGGTTACGCCTCCTTCATTCATTATAACGTCAAACGTGTCATAAACCTATTTTAAGTATTGAACGGTTTTGTCTCTTTCTTGTATATGACAGTTTCGATTTGAAAGAATGTGACAAAATAGTTTAATAGCTAAAATAGGTTTGTAGTATGTTTTAATTTTTATGAATAAGGTGGTAAGAGTTTAAGGAAATGTATATTGTGTCTCAAGTATCAAGATATTTATATATATCACAGTTAACACTACGGACTATTTTTTTTAATGGATGATAATGGAATGGCAACCCCGTCCGCGCTAACGGTATATACCGGCGAGGCACCAGTTAGGGATGATAGATGAGAATGAAAAAGCAGGTCTGTAAGCCCATAGTGATGAATACACCTGGAATTCAGCACTATGGTTTCAAGGGGGGACCACGTGGAGGTCGACCTGACAGGGTATATTGCTAGATATGCAATAAGACTAGCAGTCTACATTACTAACAATTCCTTTCCCCCAACTGTTTCATTTCATGAAATTAGCACTGAGTTTAGGCATAGTACAGCCATTATGAATAACCATGTATGACAAGAGGGAGGAGCAAACTGAAGTCAAAACGTAATGGCAAATGGAATATCTAACTACCTATTCCGTGTAACTGTGACTCATTTACACCTATCTCTACTAGTTAGTTATGAAATACACCTACCTGTATCTCATAAGAACGG